GTCATTTACTAAAACACTCCCTATAGTTTCATGGATTTACTAAAACCTATCTTATAGTTTACATTTTACTAAAACACCCCTTATAGTTTGTGATGGATTTTCTTAATCGACCTTCCATTAGATGATAGTGGAAAATGACAGTTTTGACCCTAATGTCCATTTGAATAAATTTAATCAAGAGAAAATTGAAATGAAAATACCACTTTTACCCCTAATAAAACACAAGCAACCTCTCTGTTGGCTAAACAAGCACTCCTTAATGAAAGGTCTATCAAATAAATAAGTTGCATTTTATAAGGGGTGTTTTTGGTGAAATGAATAAGGTAGGTTGAAGTAAATTCGTGAAACTATAAAGGGTATTCTAGTAAATGGCCCCTTTCTTGTTTAGTTTGCTAGCCTCTTGTTGGTAGAGAAGTCAATAGTTTAGACTCAACTTTTTTTCTAATTTATTCTTATTTTTTAAATAGGGATTTCAGATTTCCACCTTCTAAAAAACAACAAAATTTCATTTTTTAGTCCACATGTAAAAATTCCATTAAGTTTATTAAATAAAGACGTGGAAGTTTTTTATTGGAGGGTTTAAAAATTTTCATAGAAATGAGAATTCAGAATTCAGAACCCACTAACCTCTTCCTCCTCTCTTCTCTACTAAGCCACCTAAATCAGACCAACTGTCCCTATCCATTTGTCAATACATTTAACCGGTCCAACCTCCCAACAATGGTCTAACAAAGGTTAACCCTCTGTTAACTTTCAATTTTTTTTTTAAAAAAAAAAAACTAAACTATTTTTTATGCATTAATCTTTTGGAAAAATAGATCCCTACTTTTGAATTACCCACGACACAAGACATTCTTTCTTCCTTATTGGAAACCTGCTTACAGATCTAGAGAATAAAGCTTAATAGATTCGGTGAACAAAGAGAGAGAGCTTATTCCTTTCTATGGAAACAAAGTGAGTCTTTTTTAACTGAATGAAATATTTTGTTTCCACTTTTAGAAGCAATAAGATCAATTTTAGTTTAATATTCTTTTACGGCACAAGGGATAAAACAGTCTAAGAAATATTGTTTTGGGGTTGTGGATTTTGGCATCTAGTACATGTCTTGATTCTTGACATGAATCCACCGACTACTGAATTATAGTATTAACAATTATAAATGGATCTGCATATTTTGTTAATTTATAGCCGTATGAGATGCTTGGCTTGTTTTTTCTTCTTTTTTATTCAGTTCTAGGTTCTGAATTTTCTATGTTTGATGGCGATTGCTATTATATAAATCTGTATTATCAAAATGCTTGGCCTAGCCGAATGATGGCCATGTGATGTTTGTAGATGATCAACTTGGCATATCCTAAATTTGGGAAATTCCCAAGCAACAGCTGAATGTATATGTAATTATACATGAAAAAGGAACTATAAGAACCCATGGTTTTCAAAATCAGACCAGACCGGATGGTCAGACAGGAAAAACGGTAATTGGTCTCCTGACCAATTTCATTTTACCCCAGAATCGTCTTTTAGTAAAAAAAAAAAAAACCGTCGATTTGGTCAGTAAATCGCTGACCCGAGTGTTCAAACCGTCCAATGATTTTTGGCTGTTTCCTTTTTTTTTGTCAAAATAGTCGTCTATTCGGTTCAAATAGCGGTTGACTCAAGAACCGGACCCTTAAACGATTTATTGTCCAGTTTGATTCTAAAAACCTTGGAGGACCCCCTTAACAACAGAGAAAAAAGAAAAATGAAACTTGGGCAWTGCTGGTGATTCTTTTAACTCTTACTTAGTCCTTAGCTCTAATTAGGGCTATCATTGGTACCTGAAAATCCAAGACCCGATCTGGTATATGGTCTGATTATCTTGAATTCGGATGATGTATATATTTAATTGGATCAGATTCAAATGATACAATCTACATCCAATTAATAATCAGATCGATTCGGATTCGGATTTGACCCCATCCGATCCGATTAAATTCCGAATTCGATTATAATATAACATTTATTAATTTTAATATATAAATTTTATATAAGTATATTTAAAATTATAAAAAATATATTTTATATATTATATTATATTATATCTGAACTTATATATAATAAATTTAGTGTATTATATTTATATTAATTTATTATTTATAAAGATTAAAAATAAATAAATTTTCATCATTTATAATATTTTAAAAAATTTGTAGCAGAGTCAGATTAAATCCAAATCCAAATTGGGTCTGTTAGAATTCGGATTCAAAGCCAAGTCTTTAAATCTAGTCGAATTTCAAACTGAATTCATATATATGCTACAGTAATCGGATCGGATGCAGATTTTGTTGCATCCGATCTGAGTTCGATCCGATTACAGCCCTAGCTCTACTTTGAATTTTTCTAATTTTTATTTGGGATGGTTTGTTGATAGGGTGTTTAATTCTTTTGAAGTGAAACATAATAATACTATGATCTTCCTTTCTATTCATTAGGTTTGGAATATTATAATCTTTCTTATTCTAGTTCTTTATGGGTTACGCTCTCAAATTGACCTTTTGCTTTAATGACCTTAGAACATGTGAAGGAGAAGAGGGAGGGTCTTGTAAGAGTATTGAATGGTGAGATCACTCGGTTGATGCACCACATGAGTTGTGCTTGAATTAGGGCAAAAACATGGAATCTAACTTTGAACCATCCAAATTCTACATGTCAGTTGCAAAATAGGGCCAAGTGGAATCACAAATATATTGTTTTTCTAAGCTCTATTTACCTCTACTTTCTTCCTTTTATCATTTAAATATGTTAACTAGTCCTTATCAAGTATGAGCCTTATTATATTCATCCTTACAGTCCACTCAATATTTTAAAGGAACCATCATGATCTAAGGCACTACACAACTGGTCCCTATATTTGAGGCAAGCACACCAAGGCTATAGGCCATAGAAGATAATGTTACTGTTGACTCTTGGATTGGCTGTGGTGAATACTGTTAGTTTGCTCCTAAGTCAAGGTGTGAGGTGTCCGAAGTCGAGGTGTTTGAGGTGGCTGAGGGTGGGTAATTTGATCTTGCGAGGTGAGAGAAATCGTCAAAGGTCTCGGACTGGCATCCGAGGTAGAGACTCCAACGGTCAAGTTAGTAACAAAAGGAGAAAGGTGGACGATATATTGGGTGCGGGCACCAAAAATGAGGCCACTAAAGAGCAGGAGATCTCAGAGAGCAAGAAGAGTGTTTGAGAGCTATGTTTTGGGATCCTTTACCTTATGGGGGTCACCTCTCTATTTACAGTTGAGGCTGCCACGGGGCGGGTGACCTTGGACGGCCTAGATGTAGTCTGTACCGAGGGTGCGATCATCTGGCAGCGCCAAGTGAGGGTGTGCGATTGGCTCCGCAAGGCCTGCCAAGCCCAGCCTAGCATGTGCCTTGATTTGTCCAACATGAGGTGCTGACACCAGCTTTGCCCATGACCCGATTGGTTCCACTATGTGCTTCACCGCCTGATGCGTGTAGGCTCTCTATTGCCCCATCCGGATGTGCCTACATCACCTAACAAGGGAGTCAGGGAGCATTTGCAACTAGTCAATGGGGAAGTCTGATGCCATCTTCAAATGAGCCTTCTTGGTGTTGTCAATCCTCTCCAAGTAGGCCACAGATCCATAGTGTGTCAGGCACTATTGGTACTCTGATGTCTACTACCAAACAGCGATAGCGTCTCGATATTTTGCCTTAGCCTCAGCCTCTGACCTCCTCAACTGGTTCTTGGCCGTGGCGATGAGAGCCTTCTCGGCCTTCAAAGTCATCCTCCAGTGTTTACTTGAACAATTTCTCCTCCTTCAGCAACACAAGGGTCTCATCTTGGCTGCTCTCCATCGAAGCCACCCGCACCTGAAGTTGTTTGTTCTTCTTCTCGAGCCGAACCGCACGCTCGAGAAARAGGCGGACGTGGTCATCAACCACACATTTTCCTTTTATCGTTAGTCACTTCATAGAATGTGGTCCAACCTCCATACTGCTTCTAATTATCTTGTTGTTTATCATAAAACATATAGATAATGGTTAAAGAAATAAAGAAGAAAAAGAAACCAATAATCCTATTATTAAAAAGAAGCAATACACATTCATATTTATTCTAGTTAAAATCTTAAGAGTGAAAATTAAATTGATACATTAATGAGTGTCTTCCTTGTTTATCAAGAGTTTACAATCTCCACTTCATATAATGGTTTTCAGGTTTTATATTTGCTTATTTTTCCTTTCTACTAAATTTTCTTTGTTGTCAATTAAATGGAAAAGAAAATAACCAAAGAAAAGCTAGTATTTTCAAGAACAACAAAACTTGAATAATTTAGTGGACAATTAGATAAGATAAAGATACTCTTGTGTTGCATAACTAAGTAAAAATAATTTTTATTTTTCGAATGATGGATAAAATTTTAATATCACATTACTATACATATAAATAAAAATAAATTTATTGTTGGGTTTAATAAAAGGTAATAAAAATAATAAAATATTAAATTAATAAATAATAGAAGAAATTGGGTAGTCGGGGAGCAAAATGGACTATGACGAACCAGATAGAAATAACCCAAAAATAAATGCTTTTGTTGGGCTTCAATTGAATGAACTCAATTGGGAATGCCCTTTCTAAATTTTTGCAATATTTTATATTTCATCAACCATCGACAAAATGCATTTAATGAGAGATGGACTTAAAACAAATAGCTCAAATGATAGTAGTATTTAGTATGGAAGCTATGGATTTAGGGCTACTATGTCAACTATTGTTTTATTGTTTTATTATTTGAAAACAACTAATTGGTTTTGGAGGCACGAGGAATAGAAATTGGAAAAAAAATAAAAAAGTAAAATAAATAAAAATAAATTCTTCTCTTATGTCAATTGGTCAAGTTAAATGTATTGATAGATGGATAGGGACAAGTGGCAAAGGTTGAAGAGGTTGAACAGGTTAAACAGGCTAAGACTGAATGTAGATTTCTGATTTCCACAGCAGAACTATAAATATTAAAAATGACAAAAATCCACCCGTTATTCAGTAAATTGGCATAAATTCCAAACTCCAAACTGGCACCCCAATAATACAGACAGTGACAGCAAGACAGCCGCTCAACTCTCCATAACCTTAAATCTATAACCCACTAAAATTGAAAACCATTGATCTGATCATACCCCAGTTGCCGGAGTTCATTCATTACCTTCACTCCCATTCCCATGGCGCCATCCAAGCAAGTGAAGGTGATGGAGTTGTGCAAAGTCGCTCCACCACCTGGTTCAGTCGCTCCGGCATCCCTCCCTCCCACCTTCTTTGATCTATTCTTTTTACCGTTGCCACCTCCCCAACTCCTCTACTTCTACGATTTCCCCCATCCACTCACTCAATTCACATATGCTCTCCTTCCCCGCATCAAACACTCGCTCTCCCTCACCCTCCGGCACTTCTACCCATTAGCCGGAAGCCTGTCATGGCCGCTGGGTTCTCCCAAGCCCATGCTCCACTATGTGGAAGGCAACGCAGTCTCGTTAACTATCGCCGAGTCCGACGACGACTTCCACCGTCTCTCCGGCAACCAGGTGAGAGATGCAAATGAATCACATCCTCTTGTCCCTCAGTTGTCAGTAACTGGATCAGTCGTCCCGCTGCTGGCATTGCAAGCCACCGTTTTCCCAAATTCCGGTATATGCTTTGGAATCGCTTTGCACCATTCAGTTGTTGACGCTAAAACAACTATCCATTTTATGAAGTCGTGGGCTTCAATCTGTAAGCTAGGAGAGGCATCTTTGCCAACTGAATCTCTCCCGATCTATGACAGGACACTGATCAAGGACCCAAAAGGCATCGAGAAGATATTCTTGAGCCAGCTAGTAAAATTCTTCCACTCTGAGACCGATTCTCATGAGTCAGGAGAAAGAAGACTAAAAGTGGTGGATTTTATGAGCCCACCCAAGGTAGTCCGAGCCACGTTCCAGCTGAATGGAGACAATGTTGCAAGGCTAAGGGGAAGGATCTGGGCAATGCGCAAGAAGCAGGAGCAACTACCACAACCTCGACTGTCGACCTTCACGGTGGTCTGCGCTTATACTTGGGTTTGCTTGGTTCAGGCGGGGAATGAAAGGTTTCGTTTTTTGATTAACGTGGACTGTAGATCTCGTCTCGATCCTCCACTTCCTGCAACCTACTTCGGTAACTGTATAGGAACCAGGATAGTGAATGCAGAGAGGGCTGATCTACTAAGACACGATGCGCTTGCTATAGCTGCAACTCTGATTGATGAGACTACTAAACGGCTGGAGAATGGAGTTTTGGATGATGCAGAGCTCTGGCTTTCACGATTGTTATCTGCAGGGAGCAGCGCCCCCAAGATTGCAGTTGCTGGGTCAAACCGGTTGGGCTTTTACGATGCAGATTTCGGATGGGGGAGACCTAAGAAGGTGGAGTTGACATCCAATGACAGAACAGGAGCCATTTTTATCACAGAGAATCCCAATGGAGATGGTGGGGCAGAGATCAGTTTGACGCTCAAAAAGGGGGAAATGGATGCCTTTGCTTCTGTTTTCGTTAATGGTCTTAGGGCTACGGGTACTGAATTTAACCCCTCTAGACTTTGAAGCTTGCAAATGAGTTGGTTTTCTGTGCGATGACATGGATTTATGTGTTACTTTCTCATGATATATATATATATATTATATACTATTTTCCAATTTAAATAAATCGAATCTCTGTCCACTAAATAGACCCTTCCTAAGCATCCCAAATTACCAAGTGTTTGATATGTTAACTCAAGTTCGGCGAAGCTGCATTGGTTTCGTTAAGCGACAGCCGGCCGCACATGGTTTTTGTTTTTAGTTTTTTTTCTTATTGTTTTTTTTGACAGAGAAAAGAAGGCCATGTTTGGTTAAAACTGAGCTCTAATAAATCATTGTTTGAATGAGTTTGTCACATCTAGATCTGTTCATGGGCCGGGTGGCCTGACGGGCCGACCCGGCGCCCGGCTCCCGGATAGGCTTGAACAGGCTTTTTGTCCCGCAGGTTTAACCTCAGGCCAAAAAGCCCGGCCTGCATAAAATTCGAGCCAGGCTCGGGCTTTGCCAAAATAGCCCGGCCCGGCCTGACCTAATATTAAACTTAAAATGAGTTATGTGATTATGTCCATTTGAATAAATTTTTTGATTTAATAATGTAAAATTGTGTTTTAAAATATAAAAGAAAGGGAAAAAATACCATCTTTTAAGCCCATTGTTCATTTAAATAGAAAAAAAATACTATCTGAATTTTTAATTCTAATTTGAATAGGAAATTTTGTTTTTTTTTTTCAATTAGGCCGGGCTTCGGGCTTTGGGCTTTTTATCAGGGCCAGGCTCAGGCCCAAGTTATAGGCCCGTTGGTCGGGCCGGGCTTGGGCTTGGGCCTAGTATATTTTTATTAGTGACAAGTGAAAGCCCGGCCCGGCCCATGAACAGGTCTAGTCACATCTAATCTAATCTAATATGTATTAAAGTAAGGTGTTAAGGCTACAACCCTCACCATTCTGACATGTGGCATTTTCATTTTTATAGAAATCTAGACACATGGTTTTTTCTGAGAAATTGTTAAAATCTACAACCCACTAGCACTATTCAGACAGGTGGACTTTTTATATGACTTCGGATCTCCTGTGCACGAGAACTTTGCCCACGTCTACTCATAATATATACTACCCCCGTGAATTGGGAACATCTCCCCCTTATAATACTATGTAGGAGGATATGATATTCTCCATGTGTGGCTACGATGTTGTGTGGGTAGACGTTGGTAGGAGATTTGAACTCTTTTTATTTTCTTGAAATCTAGACATGTGACAATTTGTGAGAAATTCCTGTTAAAATCCATAGTCCACTACCAGGTTACAACCCCCACCATTCAAACATGTGGCCTCTCATTTTTTTTGAAAAGTTAGGCACGTGTCACTTTCTAAGAAATTACTGCTAAATCTCACAACCCACTACTACCATTCAGACACGTGGCATCCTATTAATTCAACAAATAGGATTTAAAACGTGAATAATTTCACTCCTATACATTCTCAATAGACATTTATTTATTAGCTTAACACATGTTTATTCATAATCTAATAGGTAGGACCCATTAAAAGATTACCATAAACCCATTTTGTTTTTAAATGATTTTTTTCCAAAAAGAAAATACTTTATTAGTCACAAGCTTGATTTAACTTTTAGGAAGCAACCTAATTTAACATAATAAATAACTCAAAATAGATTTATTAGATAAATAGTAAATACCAAATAAAGTGGGTTATTGTTTACCAATAAGATCTCATTTAATGTCTTAAATCAATTTAAAAAAATATAAATTAATAGTGGATTTCAAATAAAATAGGCCAAAATAGATTGTCAATTACAAAGATGCAAGACCCATATTAATTTTTCTTTAATTTWATTTTTGATAAATACTAAATAGTAAACTTCAACCTAAATTATAAACACATTTAGTTACCCCGTACTTAGTACGGGGTCATTCTCTAGTGTCTATTAAAAAGAGTCCACATGTCAAGATATTAGATAGTACCTTTGAATGATGGGATAAGATTTAGAGGTGGTTAGTGGGTAAGTAAAATCGGATGAATAAAAGTAGGACTAAGGGTACAACTTTTCCGGTTTAGAATTAAAATTTTGTCAAAATTACAATAGGCMCAACTCAAAACCCAAGCCCGAAACAGTGTAAACTGTTAACTCGGCCAACCTGACTTGCACCCCTAAATAGGACAAATGATTTTTTATAATTGTATGTGAAACACATCTATAGTACTTGTGTTAGTACATGGCTGAGTTTAGTGTTTAATGCCTTATTTGTAGTGGAGTTGGTTAGTTCAGGGAGTCATGGTAATATGAGATTTGAGAGTTAATCGGAGTCTATATGTAAGTATTGTTTTGAGTATATGAATTAAAGAATTTTACCTTTGGTATTTTATTGGAGGTCTCTCGTCTCCCTCGAAGTACATGAAATTAAATACTAAACTTCGAACTAACCACCTTCAAATCTTATCCCTTTATTCAAAGTTACTACCTAATATCTTAACAAGTGGACTCCCTTTAATAGACATGTGACTGAGCTCTGACCCAAAAATTAATTCTTTTTGGAGCTAAAATTTTTTAACTTTTAAGAATAAATTCTAGAATGAATTTCGAGCCTAAGATAAATTAGGTCTTATTGTCATTGTGTTTGGCGTACTTAGAATCTCATTTCCAGACCAAAATTTTATGACCCTAACCAGTTAGCATGAGAATTGACCCTAGTTAGTGATTCCCAAGTTAAAATCTCATTTCCTGACTATAATTCAGCCAACATATCAAGTGACTATAGCTCTAAACCGTGGTGAAACCGCCACTAGCTCCGGCTGTATAGTAACATCACTCCTTGTCATAAAAAAAAATCATAAAAATTAATATATATGAGACTGGTTTATGAGTATTATTGAGACTGGTTTCTTTATTAATAACAAAAAAAAAAATTTAAAGTTACAGTTTTTTTGGGATAAGTAGGCTGTACATCCCCTCAGAAATCTGAAATTACAGCCACCTCCCAGTCTATTAGTAGCCACCCCCCCCTTATACATCCTACCCATGGATTTGGCATCAATTCATGGTCAGAATTCAGTCCACCCCTAGAAATCTTAGCTCCACCCTAGGGGTGGATTGAACAGTTAAAACCCCTTTTTTCAGTTAAAATGTACTAGCTTTACCTTTGAATGGTTGATATGAATGACAAGTTTGAAAAATAAATCAATTTTTGAAAAGAGATTGGAATGGTTTGGGCTATCAATTTGAAAAGAAAATTTGGGAAATAAATATTTTCATCAAAAGTAATTGCATAGATATTTTGGAGATTTTCATGCATCTTTTTAGAGAATTCTAACAAAGAGGGTCTACTTGAAACCATGTTAGAAAGTCTAGACAAGGTAATTACAATCACCAACTTCAAAAAAGTTTCAGCAACTAAAAACTTTAAGGGAGTTTTCAACAATTTACCTTAATATATATTTTAGTAATAGCTAGCTAGGTTATGACATGTTTGTTTAGCCATAGGGAAACATTGTAAAGAGAAAAGATTGTGTGGCTAAGATATGGGGTGTTTGAATTGGACAAGGTTAAGATATGTATGAGAGACTTTAATTGAACCAAAGTGATAGAGGAGCCTTCTACGCTCAGGAATGGCTGTATGGTAGCTCTTTCTGGTAGGATATATATGACCCAATCTGAATACAATCCAATTAAAATAGATTGTACTAGTCCAGTATAATGAATTGGGTTGGACCGGTCCGAATTTAATGGTTCAAAATAATTAGCATATTAAACTTGGGGTGCAACTCAAGTTGGGCCCAATGAGTCCAAACTCCAAATCAATGATTAAAGTATCAGTATCGGATATTGTATCAGACAATTTGGATACGGATACGGATACAGATACGTTTTGAAAACACATGGATACGAACGAAAATATGAAAATGCGTGGATACGCTAGGAAAATACATATAAATTCCATAAACACAATAATATCATTAAATTTAAGATCAAAATAATCACAAATAGTATATAAATACATAGGAAATGTATATTTTAGTGATATATATATGAAGAAATATATTATAATTAATATATCAGGATGCACATATATCATATAATTTTATTTATAATGCATCAATCAAGAGTCCAAGGCACTAAACATATGGACTTATTATATTTTAATTATTATATAAATTATTTTATTTTTATTTTTTAAAATTTTTAACATTAAAAAAGTCAACTAATATTAAATTCTTAAATACAAATTAAAATATTAATTAATAATTTATAAAAATCTAACCTCAACTTTTAAGGTATATCAAAATTGTTAAAATTTATAATATACATATCATATAAAAATTCATAATTTTTAATTACTAAAACAATCATTCCTTTATTAATATTTTATTTATATAATTTTTCTAATATGAAAAATAATTTTTTGAGATAAATGTAGATTAATGGATTTGATAAATTCAATTTAATGTTATACTCTTAAATATTTTATAAACAATAAATTTCTTTTGTATAAGTAATAAATATGTTGTTATTACTTATTAATATAAATTGAAATATTAATTATAATTGGTAAAAATTTATAGTAATTTTAATATGCATATCATTTGCAAGTTTATAAATTTTAAGTATTAAAATAGTTATTCTAATCTTAATATTTTATTTGTATAATTTTCTTGATATTAAAAATCATCTTTTTAAATAAGCATGGATTTGATAGATTATTTATTGTATTAGTTTATAAAATACTTTTTTTGAATATTATTCTTTTGAAATTTTAGTTAGACTTTTTTTTGGTAATAGAGATTGACAAAATCGCATTCAGAGAGAAGTTAATGAAGTATATTTTCTTTTACTTTTTGTCACAAGGATAAACATGGATTAGTGGCTTGGAAGTGCATTTAAGGTGCAAGCTTTGGGTGCGCTCTAGTGACCTGAGTTTGAATCATTGGGGCTGCAATTTTTTGTAAAGAAACACTGTTTATCGATGCGTATCGGCCAATACAATGTGATACAGACCGATACRGATCTGAATCACTATGATACATACGACTCACGGGAAGCATATCCCGTACCAGTATAGGCCAATACTGAATCAAATTTGCATT